TGCTGCTGCTGCTGCTCCGGCTACTGCTGCTGCTGCTGCTGCTGCAACTGCTGGCGCGGCTTCTGGCGGTGCTGCTACTGCTGCTGCTGCTGCTGATAATGATTGTGAGGGTGATGGTATAATGACGACGGTGCCGCTGCTGCTGTTGCTGCTGTTGCTGCTGTTGCTGCTGCTGCTGCTGCTGCTGCTGCTGCTGCAGGACTGCCGCGCTGCGCTGCGCAGCACGGAGGAGACAGTCGCTGCGTTGGAGGTTAAACTGCAAACATCCCGCACTGATGTCTTAGCTGTAAACCCTAAACCCTAAACCCTAAACCCTAAACCCTAAACCCTAAACCTACACCCTGCAGCAGCCCGCAATGATGTCTTAGCTGTAAACCCTAAACCCTAAACCCTAAACCCTAAACCCTAGGACTCCATCCTCTACACTCGAAGGTGTTAAACCCTAAACCCTAAACCCTAAACCCTAAACCCTAGTATGCTTTTTGGTGTTTCGTGTGTCTTCTTCTCAGCTGGAGGCGAAGGAGAAGCGGCTGCTGCAGCAGCAGCAGCAGCTGCAGCAGCGGCTGCAGCACCTACGCTCTTTGTTTGCTTCTCTATCAGAGCAAGCAAACGAACAGAGAGATAAACAAAACAAAAACCAGTCCGCTGTCTTTGTCTTTGTTTTTTTTTTGTCTCCTTTTGTATTTTTCTTTGTTTTTTTTTGTCTCCTTTTGTCTTTGTCTTTGTTTTTTGTCTCCTTTTGTCTTTGTCTTTGTTTTTTTTTGTCTCCTTTTGTTTTTTTCTTTTTTGTTTTTGTCTCCTTTTCTCTTTGTTTTTTTTGTCTCCTTTTGTCTTTGTTTGTTTTTGTTTCTCCTTTTGTGTTTTTTTTTTTTATGTTTACGTCTGTCTTTGTGTATTTTTCTGTCTCCTTTTCTTTTGTCTCTGTTTATATTTATTTATTTCTGTCTCTTTTTTTAATTATATTTCATGCTGCTGTTTTCTCTGATTCTAGGGTTTAGGGTTTAGGGTTTAGGGTTTAGGGTTTAGGGTTTTGCTGCTGCTCAGGCAAAAAGAAGAAGAACGCTACGCTGCACTCCAACAGAGAGTAGCTGAGTTAAAACAAGAAGTAAATACCTGCTGCTGCTGCTGCTGCTGCTGTTGCTGCTGCTGCTGCTGTTGCTGCTGCTGCTGCTGTTGCTGATGCTGCTGCTGTTGCTGCTGCTGCTGCTGTTGCTGTTGCTGCTGCTGTTGTTGTTGCTGCTGCTGTTGTTGTTGCTGCTGCTGTCGTTGCTGTGGTTGCTGCTGTTACTGCTGCTGCTGCTGTTGTTGTTGCGTCTGTTGTTGCTGTTGGCGTTGTTTCTGCTGCTGCTGTTTCTGCTGCTGTTGCTGATGTTGTTGCCGCTGTTGCTGCAGTTGCTGCTGCTGCTGC